CACCGTATTAAGTTATGTACAAACATTCAATTTTAAGCTTGATTTTTGGAATGTGAAGGAGTTAGGACTATTTGACATCTTATGCTCTAAGTCAGGTCTGAATTATAATTTTCCCTAAAGAAAATTTTCATTCATTGTCTCTTTCATTAAAATTTTTGCTGACTTCAAGAATAAAATTATTTAGATCATGCTATAATTAAATTCTATGCCAATGTGTAAATAGAACTAGCTAATGTGTGGATATAAATATGCCAATAAAGATTTGTTTAAAATAATGGCTCTTTCTTTCTTCTTTAGAAAAGTATAATTTATATATATATATATATATATATATATATATATATATATATATACACACACACACCTATATAATTTTTTTTAGTTCTTCAGGTGTGTATAGTGCCCATGGAGGTCAGAAATGGATGTGGATCCCCATAAATTGGAGTTACAGATGGTTGTGAACGGCCATGTGGGTGCTGCAAGTGCTCTTAACCACTGAGACATTTCTTTAGCACTGTTTCTTTAAAAATAAATCATTTAATATTGCTTTTGCAATAACCTGTCATTCTGAAGTACTTATAAGTACTTGCACTGGCACATTCTATCAAAATATAACAAACATTTTTGTAACTAAATTGGTTAAATGCCTATGAAGTTACATATGGAGTCTGCTGTTGATGATTTCCAGAAGTTTCACCTGATCCACTCAGCTTTTCCTCTCTATGGTTGAGGCAATCAGCAGCTAGCATATGGTACATAAGACACAAAACGGAAGAGAGCTCAACTTCACAGGCAAGGCAGCTGGTAGATTTGACAGTTCTTTTCCAAATTGCTCATCATGTTTTGAATTACTGCTACGAAAAAAAAAATGTGTTGCCCATCTCCAAAATAGATGTTCATTTTTATTTTTATGCTGGAGAAAGGCTTCCAATAGGAAAATAAACCAGATGGTTATAGGAACAGGGGGAGGTTCCCTACTGTGATCGTTTTCTTATTGTCAGGTCTCTGGTTAGAAGATATTTCCATAAACAAATTAATACTTCACTAGTCACAGCTAGCTTTGCCCTCAGATGCATTTTTGCCTTTTCCTATGAATGATGCCTTTGGAACAATGTCAAAAGTAAAGCAGGAAAGCCTGGTGAGTTCATTATAAAGAAGCATGGATCTAGATTTAGTGCTAACCCAAAATATAACAGACAGACAAGTGGGCTCCTTCTGCGACACTGGTGACATTACAAATGAGAAACAGTAACATGGAAAATACTTTCCTCAAATGAGGATAAAATTGATGACTTTCAAAATTATTTTCTACAGCAGAAATCTAATCAAATTTATATTGAATCTCAAAATACAGTTAAGAGTGTGTGTAATTCCAATTGTGACCTGCATGGTGTAGTAAATTTGTCTCTTTTAAATTCAGCTGAATCTTCTAAGTTGTCTGTTTGGACAAATTTCACTATGAAGTTTGCAATAATTTCCAAATTTAGCTTTCTACACAGACCACAGAAAAGCTTCGTATGGAATAACAAAGTGATTGTTTTCTGAATCTTTAAGTACTCCAAAATCTCAATTTGATTTATACTGTTCTTTTAAAATCCTTTCATAGGAAAAATCCAGAAACTTTTTTCTAAACTATGTATTAGTTTGAAAATATGTTCCCTTATTTAGACTAGAATTAGAAAGAAATTTTCTCACCTCTTTATGATTAGCTTTTAGAATACTCTTTATGATAGTTCTAAGATCTTCAAAGTTGAAAATACTTGTGTTTGAATCCCCTAAAAAACTGAGTTTTTCAATGATGTGTTTAATTGATTATTTCAACTGGTGTCTTCCTTTTAGCCTTATAAAAGTTTCAATGTCTATATTTAATGTATCAAAAGTCATTTTAAGAGCTAATTCAGGGGCACAGCAGTCTAATCTCTTCTTTGTCAGCCTTTTCTTTACTAATCCAATGAAAACGTATCTAACTTTCAATTTCCCAAGTTCACGGCAGTTGTCACATTTGAAGTATAGTTCTTCATACTTCTGAGCACTGTCATAAGTCATTCAAGACAGATTTATGAAATGACAGACTTTCTAAGATAAAGTATAATGTGTCAAAAAGCTATTCTTTATTTCCAGTTCAATGGGAATTTAAGAAATTGTTTCAAACAAGGATAAATTTGGAAATAACTTTTGAAATTCACTGCTGGTGACAGCTACATCTCAGGGCACCGAACACACCATGTTGTTTTAACCAGTGCTCTAATACATTCTATAAATGTATTAGACATTATTAACATTGTCATATAATCTAAAAACTTATTAAATGAGGTGTATACATAAGAGGTGCATGAACATTTTGTTTCTAGCTACCAAAATCTGTAAATTGAATCTGTTTATTTTCTGTTTACTTGAAATGTGTTTGTTATAATTACAATATCTGAAGAGTTCTTTCTGAAATTTTTTTTCATTGACAAGTGTTCTCATCTAATCATATATTTTAACATCAACAATGAGAATCATAGATTTACTCCCTTAAAATAAATTAAAATTTATAAATTTGTAAAGTTGTTGCTGCCTAAGACTTCCAAAAAGGTTAGATTTTTTTCTTTCCAATTACTATGTCTTGAGTTTTATTATATGTAATTTTTGCATACATATCTTTACTAATACATTTTAGTACATAATAAGTTTCAATAATGAATTTAATATTTGTTACATAAATAGGTCTCTCTACCTAGTTAAGAGATGATGAGAGAGGAACTCTAATGAAATGGTCATCTATCAGATGCTGTGGAACAATCTTTTTGTACACTGTGAATATTTGTTGTTCTCATTGGTTTAATAAAGGGCTAACTGGCAAGTAGCTAGGCAGGTAGAGGTTAGGAGGGATTTTTAGACAAAAAGAGAGTGTTGGATAGAAGAAGGGGAATCACCAGAAGATCTGGAGAGAAACAAGATGAACATGGCATGCTGAAAAAAGGTACTATGGAAAAAGCAGAGCATAAATAAGAAATATGGATTAAGTTGTAAGATCTTGTTAGTATCAAGCCTAAGCTATCGGCCAAGTACTTGCAATGAATATTAAGTCTCTGAATGTTTATTTTGGGAGTGTGCTGGTGGGACAGAGCTGACTGGTGGGATGGAGAAACTCCACCTACAACCAGAGCATTAGTTCTTGAATGGTCAGAAGAGACCATCAGTCCTCAAATGAATTTAGAGCAAAGTGATGTATCTAGAGTGATCAGATAATAGACTATCAGCTCTAGAATGATGTTAGAACAAAGCACGGTTCTAAAATGACAAGGAATATAGTTCCAGGTGTAGAACAGTGATGTTACAGGAAAGCAGCTCTCTTTTCCTAGTCTATGCCATTTTATTCTTCCTCATTCTCTTATTTTTAAGACGCCCTCAATTGTAATGTAGTTGTTATTAAATGAATTATTGAAAATTCAAACAATGAGCTTTAAAATTATAGTATTACTGTCCTCAAATTTAAAAAATCAATCCTGAAAAGTATGATTGGTTAAATTATTATGCTTCAAGAAAAAAAATTGCAACTTATATTTAAATTATTTAAGTCTTAAGTACATTTCAAAATGTTACTATGCTAAACAATAAGTGTATTAAAACTAGACCCAGAAGTTAGACAACAGATGTTTTGTTTTGTTTTGTTTTGTTTTTCAAGACAAGGTTTCTCTGTGTAGCTTTGCACCTTTCCTGTAACTCACTCTGTTGCCCAGGCTGGCCTCGAACTCACAGAGATCCACCTGGCTCTGCCTCCCAAGTGCTGGATTAAAAGTGTGTACCACCACTTTTCTGAGACAATAGAGGTTTACAGAAACATTGTATGCATGGCCCAATGACCCACTTATGCTCAGGTCATTCATGCAGACCTCCTGCACTTATTTGACACAGAGGAGTAAGAATATTAACATGTGAATAAAAAAAAGAGTGCTAATATAATGCATATGAGAACTCCTAATTTTGAAACCAAATTTTATTGACTATACTTGCTATTGACATAAGAACAAACTATATGATAAGAGTATGTGTGTATCACAAACAAGGAAGAAAAAATAATATGAGTTTAGGTCAATTCACATCAAATGGCAAAATGTCAGGTCAGTATATTAAGAAGAGTTTTCAAGCTAGATGAACAATTTCTGAAACAGTGAAAGCTGAATAAGTTATTAAAATAGTTTGAGGTTTATTTTTTTAAAAAATGTACTGGAACAATTCATTTATCCTCATATTTATGCATCCATATATTCATCTCACAAAATTTCTTCTATCTAAACATACTCATGGGTAAGTTATTCTAAACTTGATGTTACTAATTAAGTGAATTTAAAAATATTTCATCCTTAAAATAGTCACAAATAATCAGCAGTTAAATTTCTATAAGCGCATGCTATTCATTTTTTGCAAAGCCAAAGCAATGATGAGATATTAAGCCACAAACACTGTTTTCATGCCAAAGTATCTCCCAACTCTCCCAAACTAATGTTAAGAATCCACTTAACACAACATATAGCAGATTCCTATTAAATTTTCCCTATGTAGAAATGCAGATGAGCAGGAAGAGAGAAATATCCCTAAAAAACGAGGAGTCTGACTGGCTTAAAATGAAGCAGGTGAATAAGAAATAAACATCTTAATTTAATGCATAGACTTCTCTCTTGAGTAATATCAAACATAGCCTATTATTTTATACATATAATACAAAATAAAGTATTGTATCATCCTACTTAGGAAAAGTTAGGGGTTTATAACATTAACAATATGTTATTTTATCTGAAAATTGACACCAACTCCTTGCTGTGTTGAGAAAGTAAATACTAAAATTGTTTACCAAAGCAATTGAAAAGCCGTGAGCAACTATTATAGCAGATAGTTCCTCGAGAAGCATTTTAACATGGGCAAATAAATATACTTAATTCTGCAAAGGCTACTATGCATGAATTATGAAGTACTGTGCAAAGCCATGCCAAATGGATAGAATGATGACTACTTACCAACAGGGCGAACTGTAGACATTACAATGGTGTGGTGAGAACATAAAAAAGAAATTAAAAAAAAAGAAAAGAAAAATTATCAGAATGCATGATGTGTAATGCTACATTTAAGTATGGACAATAGAGTGATTTCTATTCTCATAATTCAATTATGAACAGGGTGCCTAAGTCTGAGACAACTGAAAGATATAAACATAATTCTACGGAAAAAGTTCTTTTGAACCATAAGACTAACTCCAAGGATTTGAAGGTACACTGTAGGTTTAGTCTTATCATCAGTACTTACTTCAGTTTTTACTTCAAAGACATCAAGTTAAAGAGCCTTATGCTACTCCCAAGTTAAGAACAGACTGATCAACTACTCAAGTCAATATGTAGCAAACATAATGTCTGCAAATAAGGCCTCACTACCTAAACTAAACAGCAATTGGATTTTAAGCATGGCTTCTCAGAACCATCTCAAGGAATATAAACAAGCTCCTAATGCAGCTTTTCAGTAGGCAATAATTTAGGTCTACTTTGCTTTCATCCATGGAAATCATCTATGTGTTTCATGTAACAATATAGGTTGAGTTATGCCTGCAGATCTCAACTCTGTAGCTCCCTAACCATTATTGAACCTATTGCTTCTTCTGGCATAGGTGATGAACCAGTGACTGGCGTGTTGATTCCTTCTCTCACTGAGCATAGCTTCAAATTGATGCTTCAGCAAAGATAACATTTTTTATGTTACCATAACATTTGGTTACTAAGATCCATAGTAGTAGGCTGACATTCTCTTAATGACTGAAATTTTAAGATACATACATAAGCTAAATATTTTCTTTAAAAATAGTTTCAAATCATTATGGATAAACAACCATTTAAAAGCAAAAAATAAGCAATATAAAACATAGTTTTCCTTTTTCCAGAAGAAGAAACCTGTTTAGAAGAGCTAACTATATAAAACTGAACAATTAAAATATAAATTTTTCCATCCAATAGGTCTATATCCATCCATATCCCAGCGTATATAACCCTAGTGAATAATAATGCATTTCTAAAACAAGGTATGAATAGTTCTTGCTGATGTTGATCATGATGTTGATCTTGATGTTGGGCTTGAAAAGATAAATACAACATTTGGAACATGCTTTATACTTGAGCATTTAATCAGCCTGTCCATTATTATTCTGAATTTGTGTAATCCCTAAAACTAAGAGTATAGTTAGATATATCTGAAAGAGAGTTGTCTTTTATAATAGTAGTATTTATAATTAGGATAATAAAACTATGATGATTGTAGTAACAGTAGGAAAATTCTGTGTCACTGGCATAAGTACTTTATGGTATGTTTATTGTAGAAAAGCATTGAGAAGTTGCCTGATGACCCATTTTATCCTTTTTGTAAAGGGATGAATAGAAAGACCCAAGACTAATAACCAAGTAAAGATGTAAGATTGACATCATAAATTCTTTCTTTACTCTCACTAACAATTTCTCTCAGTTGTTTCAGTTTCTAATAGGAAAAAGAAATCAATATTGAAATTCGTGCTAATTTAGCTGCAACATAATATTGGTTTTCAAATATACTTCCCTAAGAAATATTACATCTTCTAAGGTTGTGACATGAAGGAGAAAGAAGAGACTATAGTTTATAATTAGGATAATAAAACTATGATGATTGTAGTAACAGTAGGAAAATCATGTTGAAATAAATAATATATTTTGCATTCACTTTATACTAGTTGAAAAAATTGTTTAATATACTGCCTTGGAAGACAGCACTTCCAATGAGATACTTCTATATCAAGAGAATGAAAAACACTGGGAATGAGGAAAATTGTTTGCATAAATGAAGCTGCTGTTTTGATATCTCTTTCAAGAATCATTTTACAGATTACTTAATAAGTTTTTTGATTTGATTATTATGGATGCAGTTCTTTTAGTAGTTTTTTTCTTTTTTAATTTTGTTTGCCAAGGCAGATAATAAATCTCCTTGATGGCAAGCTTCACTTGATAACCTTGTTTGTTGCCATGCTTTTGAAATTAAAAAACAATCAAACAAAAAATATACCGAAGAGACTTTGGTTTCAAGTGTTGATTATAAAACTCCGTAAAGTATCCCCAATGTGCTAACATTCACATAATGATACAATTTCTGTATAAATATCACAATAAAACTGCGTGTCTTTGTTCCATAGCAACATTTCATCATGAAAATCAGCAGGTGGATGTTTTCAAAATCAGCAAATTAAACTCAACTGTGTTCCAGAATTAAATGGACTAAAATGGACATAACCTCTTGGGTCAGTTGACCTCATTCTAATAAAACAACCAAGAGAAAGGCTGAACCTTTCATTTATGTGCATAATGAGATAGACACAGAAAATAAAAGTCATAATTTTACCCCCATTAACCTTATAATGTGAGCTATCCCAACTGCATGTCTAAATGGTAAAACATGTTTTTCAATAATAATTTACTGTACATTACATCATTCTACAGAGATTTATTAATAATATTTAACCCTTATTTTGAAGTTGCAATCTTAGATGAATGACAAATTCATACCATGGGGACACAAACACTCTAATTCATCTGCATGCTACAAATCAGAGAAGAAACAATTTAAGGTTTACTGGTTTTTTTACATATATAATATTTTATTATATTATATAATAAATATATAATAATTTATATTATTATAAAAAGAAAAAAGAATAAATGTATCTAAATAAAAAGAATAAATGTATCTAATATATTTTATTATATTCTATATATTTATTATATATATATATAATTTTTTTAAACAATGCTTTGTAAGTTTTTGTAGGTTTGCTTCCAATAAAATGCTGAACCTGAAACTTTTGACAAATTATGAAAACAATTAGCTGAGAATGTTCTCAAAGCAAACAGAACACTCCATGTCTCCTTGGGTCAAGCACTCAAGTGTAAACACAAATCTGTTTTCTCTACAAACAAACAGCTCCTCACATGTTGTTAACGTTTGTTTAGTCAGCAAACAGTTTTTGAATGGAATATTTTGGGGTTGGTTATATAATTTTTGTCTCATTCATTTCAATCCCCCCAACATAACTTAGAGATGATTTGGTCTAGCTGAATTACCTATTTAAGAATAAATCTTCTGCATATATGCTACATTGTTGGCTTGGTATTTTGGGGGTACTCCTGACAGTGGGAGTGGGGGGGTGTCTCTGACTCCTTCCCTTGTTCTTGGGATCCTCTTCCTCCTACTGCATTGCCTCGACCTGTCTTGATGTGAGGGTTTATGCCTGGTCTTAAAGAATCTTGTACCTTGTGTGGTTGATATCCCTGGGAAGCCTGCTCTTTTCTGGGAGGAGAGGGGGAAGGAGTGAATCTGGGGGAGAAGGGAGATGTTTGGGACGGGAACTGGACGGAAAAAAAAAGAATAAATGTATCTAAAACTATCTTCGGTGTATGTAGGTGAGAGTGCACAGTTTTATTTGCATGAGTTGCTCTATTTTTGTCATATACAATCAATAAATATATTTGGGTGGTAAATAATCAAAGCCATTTATGACTTAATAATGAAGCATGTCAATGCTGATAAGCAAGTGCTACCAACTTGGTCTAAATTGTTTTGATCTATGTTTACATGAAAATGAATGTAAGAGAAAACAAATGGGTTGGGAGAATAAGAACAGGGTCATTGGGGAAAAAAAGAGAAAGCACCTTCACTCTCAGAGGTACAGATGCTTGCTTCCTGCTAGCTACCTGGAGACAAATGAGTGTTGTGGCATAATTTCTTTTTTATCAGATCAAAGATTCACCTAAGGATCCCTGACTTATTTCCTTCAACTTCAAACTCCTTCAAACCCTTTTCCTAACTTATAAATTCTTGTGGGAGCAAAGCTGTGCAAGGGTAAAGGTGAGGTGCAATTGAGCCACTGCCAGCATCCTTCTATGGAGAGATGAGAGGAAGCATCTCATCTCAGGCATGGTGGGCAGGAAGTTCAAGACTGGTGAGTTTCAACAGTACTATAACAATGTCTACTCAGGAAGCAAAAATGTCCTGTATCTTTGTGACTCTATTCTGTACCTGGGAATACATAACTTAAGCTCTTAGGATAACCATATTCCAGCAGGAACACTGCTAATTCACTCTAGAGAACCTTAGGTTTAGTAGTGCTTTCTGTTACTATAAACAATTCTACTGAGTCTAGAAATAAACATGATTCCATAACTGGGAGAGTACATAACTCTCAGAAAGCTCATGTTATAAAAGAATGTCCCTGTCTACCTCTATTATTTAAGGCCAGAGAACTTCATGAACTGTTCTCCAAATCAGTTTATCGGGAGATTGGCTTTTCTGTTAACACCTTTGAAACATGACTAGTTATTCCCTTCCCTTAAATTGGTGTTTTGAATATGGAAACAAACAAACAGATTTCCATAATTTTAAACAGAGTTCTACCAGTACAAAGGGGTATGCTAGCAGAAAGCAAACATTTCAAAGCTGACAGCATTTAACAGCAGTAAGTCACTGAAAGAAACAGAAACAGAAAAACTGATTTATATCCTCACAATTTTTTGGGGATGAACTCTTCAGCTATGTGAACTAGTTAGTCAACCTGTTACTGTTAATTATATAAGAAAACTGGACTGGAGAGATGGCTCAGCAGTTAAGTGCACTGGCTGCACTTCTAGAGGTCCTGAGTTCAATTCCCAACAAACACATGTTGTCTCACAACCATCTATAATGGGGTCTGATGCCTTCTGGTGTGTGCAGATGAGCATGCAGAGTACTCATATACATGAAAGAGTAAATAAATATATAAGTAGTAATATCATATTTTACAACCTCCATCTACTCCACCCTTACCATTTGAATTATTATATATTAGAATCAGTGATACTCAAAAACAGCAATGTTTGTTTGCTTCGTTGATTGGGTTTTGCTTGTTTTAAAACACAGTTTCACTATGTAGCCTGCACTGGCCTGAAATTCAATGTAACTCAGGCTGGCCTCCAATTCACTACAGTCCCTCTGTCTCAGTGTCTCACATGCTAAAATTACAGGCACAGATCTTTATGTCCCTCTTGGGATGACAATATTAATGTCACTGAAAAGATACAAACAACAATTTTAAACCCTTATTTTGAGCTGTTGAACTTTCTATTGTCCCGTGATTACTCTCAACAGTTTTATGAACGAGATACTTTCTTAGCCTGAGATGTCTTAAATGTACATGTAAAAGGACAGTGTTGAATATAGAAGAATTTGAAAGCTTCCATAAACTTTCAGAGACCACATATATACCAGTGAGTAGAATGTTCAAGTTATTTCAAAAATATGTTTTGACTAGACTTATCACCTGAAATTAGATTACAGAAGGTATGAGTGAAGGTATGATAAAAATTTGCTAGCTATCCAAGGCTCTCATAGATGAAGATCTTTAACTTATTGTGGCTGTGTTTGTCAGTATATGAACTAACTACAAATTCAAAGAACATTGTACAAACAGGAGATTCAGAGTGAGGAGTCCCTTAAACAGTTAAACCAACCCTACTGCTTCATGGCAGCCCATGTCCAGGACTATTTTTAAGGGAATGTCCTTGCTGTAGAGAAGGACAAACGCCAGGCATACTCAGTGTACTTTTAGAAAACAGCCAAGACTGGGAAGAATCCTGGAAACTGGATTGTACCAGGGGAGGCCTCTCCAGTTTGGGTTCATTCACCATTAGCCGATAATGCATGTAACTCTATAAAATGATTTTACCTACATGACAAGGCCAGAGCGTTGCCCCATGATGGGAGAAAAGTGAATGCTTGCTTTCATTTCTCCACAGATCAGTAGTATGACCCTAGACAGTGCCCTTCACCTTGTTCTACTTGCTCTGTCTGTTAAATGAGTAGGTAGCACCAGGCAAATGCTTAGGCGCCGCCTGGTATTGGATCCTCACAACACAGCCCTGAGACAAATGGGATATCTTTTAATATCTTCTGTTGTAAAAACTTCAGAGACAGAGATCATAGACAGCTTGATATATTTAAATGATGGAGATCTCGAAGAGCTACAACTAAATGTGAATCTTGAAAAAAAAAAAGCAGTAATTGTTGGTCTTAGCAAACTGAAAGATACTCTCATGTACAAAGGTACTGAACTCCTTAATCCTGCAATGTAGGGGGATGAGATTCACACAGTCTCCCATGGAGCCATTGGTTTCAATAGCACCTGCAGGCAAGTGGATAGAGAAGCATCAAACTGAGAAGTAATTGCTTAAAACCTCCCTAGCAACCATAAGCCCGAAGTGAAGACAAGTTGAGACAATGCAGCTTGAAAACAGGCACATGCATATGTTATTTGTGGTTAGAGAATGGATCCTTTGTATTCCCAAGTTCAAACTGACATGTGAAGAGAAATGTAAGTCAGTCTCTACCAGCAGTTTTGGCAACCATCTCCAAGCAAGAAGGGAAAAGCGAGGTTGCCCCGGGTCTGAGGCAATTGTTGGCATTTTCTATCTGGAAGTGTGTCTATCACCTGTGAGGAAGGTCACTCATGTTCACTGTTTATCAGAGGTAGTAAACCATCTAGCAGACTGAACTGGCTACTGTCTGAATTAGTTTATTATCATATTAACTGAGATTAAACTGAACACTAGTTCAGAGCTGGTCAGTGCATTTGGAAATCAAATTCTTTTATGTATTCTGTGAAAAAAAAAGAAAGGAAAAAAGGAAAGAGAGAGAGAGAGAGAGAGAGAGAGAGAGAGAGAGAGAGAGAGAACCATTTAAGCAACTATTTTATTTCAATTAATGATTTGGAAGGCAAAAACACCGGAGTTATTTATTATAATACTAAAACTGTATAATATATTCCTTTACTCTGAAACATTTTGCTATAAAGACCAGCCTGGCTTCCCATTTGTGATCCCTCTGTGACTGCTTCTTGTGTGTTAGGATAACAGGTGTGGGCTACCATGCCCAGCAGTTCCTACTAATTTGAGCAGTCATGAACTTACCAACTGATCAAAATATTAGGCTCCTGGTTCAATTTTCTTTGACGCTTCAAGTCTCTTACCTCGGACAGTGAGAGTAGCAGAGGCTTCCACTTTCCCTACCCGATTCTCAGCGATACACATATAGGTACCTTCATCTGTACTCAAGGCCTTTTTAATTCTCAGGGTATAGTCATCTTTGATATCGTACCTGTGTAGAATAGGAACCAGCATTATTAAACAGCATCAGTCATATAGCTATTGCATATAGATAGTGATCCTCATTCATCCCTTTTTATACTGCATTTTATATACACAAACATCTAGATACATATTACACTCATTCAGACTAAAATTACTAAAAATAAGATCACTAATTTTATAACTGATCACTAGTTGCTTGTCAGTTACCCATTCATTTTACATTGTGCAATTTTTTATGCTTTGAAACTATCAAAGACAGGCTTTCCAATTTGTCCTATCCTTGATGACTCTCCACAAATAAGGAAAATATTATACATTTTTGCTTTGGGTCACTTGTGTTTTATTATTAGGTAAGTTAATCATACCATATTTAATATGATTTTTAGGCATTATGAATATAAGAAACTTAAAATATATTAAAAGAGGAAATATTTGTCTTCTATACTGAGAAGTTGACAAAGTGAACATTAATTAAAAGAATAAATAAGTGAAGTGTTAATTTGTATTTTCGGGGTTTTTTTTTCCAACTCCCTATATGGACATTTGAAATGAACTTGAAGCAGCTTTTGGAATGTGTAGCCCAAGTTCATTCACAATGATTCATTTCTTAAATTTAGAGAATAAAAAACAATTTCAAAATAAGTTTACAAAATACAACATTAACATGATTTACCAGAGTTGGTGCCTTGCAATGGGACGATATTCCTGTACAACTCTAAGTTTTCAATTAGACAAACCAGAAAATAATACTATCACATTTCCACTCTTATGACCTTTCCTCTCAATTTTCACTAATGTTTTCCAAACAGTTTTTTCTGGTAGTTTATGATAGTTTACACTGCTTTCCTTTTTTCACATGCTGCACAGTTATTTCAATGTTCCCGAAAAATTGTTTTAGATGATTCTGCATGTTGGATCCTCATTGGAACACTTTGTTGTTTTAAGAATTGATCCAGATTTCTAGCCTTGATCTCTCTCCTTCCCTTGGTTTTTTGTTTGTTTGTTTGATTGGTTGATTGATTCCTTTTTGACAGGCTCTCATGTAGCCCAGGCTCTCAAACTCACTGAGTCACTGGGGGTGACTGGACTCCTGATAATTCTTCTTGAGCTTCTTAAGTGTTAAATGACCCCCCCAACCCTGTCCAGCTGGTTTCAAAGAGCTCTGTAATTAGTTGTGTTCTACTTCTAACATTAGTTTTAAAAACAAAACAAATAAAAAATAATAACAGCAACAACAAAAATGCCTTGTCTCTACCGTGACAGTTCTATTTTATATATACACTGGCATGACCAAAAGCAATGTCTGTCTACCAAGCATGTCAGTGGCTTGGGCCTCCCAAGCTCCTCTGTCTTTAATCATGGTATTGACTTCTCTGATTATATATTCACCTTGATTTTTTTTTTCTATTCACCATGGTTTAAGACTTAAGAAGGCCTTATTCACTATCTGTGTTTGAAACCTTCCATAACTGCACCAAAAAGAAATATAGCTACTCCCCTCTTGGAATGCAGACACATGTTAATGATTCTGTACTACTTAGAACTATTAGAGTTTTAGAGTTTTCATGGTTGTCTTTTTCCAAGAAGGTGGTCATCTTGTCTGTTTCACCAAATGCCCTCAGCATACTATTAGTAGCAGAACTTCTAAAATTTATACAAGTCACTTAAAGCACAGACTTAGGAACCTATTAGCCAAATTTTAACAACAAGGTCACCCTGTTTCTAACAGTGGACAAGTGTTTAAATCCTTTGGGTATGAATTATCCCATTAACAAAATTGTTCTAATCACAATGTCGGTTCAATAGAAGGAATGCCAGCTATAGCTGTGAAATAAGTAAAAACAGCACAGTCAGAAGAAAGCATAATTCATAATGGCTATTTATGATACATACAAAGAACTCAAGAGATGAACAATCAATGCCTTGTTTCCTGCTAATATGAGTTCTATGTAAATGTGAATGGCTTCAGGGATGGTAGATTACCATGTTTATCTATAAGGATGGCTTATGTTTACAGTTTAAGATAAGTCCCAAGCTAAGAAAGTATGAAAGAGTAATGATATTGGGGAAGAGTTGCTGATTAAATGTATTGTATAATAATTTAAAAATTAATGTATAAATATAGAGAACTCTAAATCTCAGAAGTATCCTTCTGCTACATTATTGAGCAAAATCATACATCACAGATAATCTCACGTGCAAAAGAAATTAGTTATGTTTTCTGCTAAGCATTCACTTTATGTAGGCAATAATATAAAGTGTTTATTTTGACTCAAAATTTCAGGCTACGGTCCATCAGCATCATAGGAAGGCAGTCACAGAAGCAGGAGAGGAACTGGTCATGTTACACCCATAGTCAGAAGAGAGCCATTGCTGTAAGCATGCCAAAGATCAGTTTGTCACTCCTTTGCATTTACGCCACAAATGATGATTGGGCAGTTCTTCCTACTTCAGTTAACGTAAAATCAAACAATCCCCACTACAAGCCCACAGGCCAACCTGGTGAAGACCATCCTTCAGTGAGGGTTTCTTCCCAGGTGATTCTCAACTGTATCAAGCTGACGATAAAAACCTAACTATCATACTTCCATTTAAGTTCTTTACAGTGTATAATGTGATTCCACATGTGACATCAAAATGATAAACAACCTGTAGAAAATGCCTATTTCCTGATGCAATTTTAAATAAAAAGCTGATTATATAGTTGTCTGGGTATATAAAGGGACTATAAGCCACTATCAGTACATTTCTTTATTATAATAGAAAAGGCCCACCTTTATGTTGGATATGTTTGCTGTTTCTTACACATGTCTATCAGGTAAAGTATTGTGTTGATTATTCTGTATCCATACTTTTTGACAATCAGAACGATAGGAGCCTCATGACTATTTATCAATCTACATATAAGTTAATTATATGTAATTAATTTCTTTTATCACAGCTAATTCAATTTGTTTTTAACTGTCTTTACTTAGTCTAAAGTAAATTATAAATGAGTAGAGCATGCTTTTATACAAAATCACTTATCAGCATAGTGAAATTTTATATATGTGTGGCATATAGTAGCACTGCTTATTTTAATTAAAAACAGAAAATGAAACAGAGGAAGAATATTTCTGATGGGGCAATTTTACTACAAACGAGATGATTTTCATTGTGAAATCTCCTTGACTTGGACTTGTACGAAGGAAGCCATTGTTGCCAGGTTTGATTAATGACAGTTGTGTTATCCCGGGCTGTCAGTTGCTACCCTCGGTGTACCTTCTTTCTTTTGATGTGAACCACCGCCGAAAAATACAGCCCAATCAGATTTGGCCCCTGGACAACATGTGCGATCATCACTGTACCATGAATTCAGATTGATTGGTGACCAGCTGTGACGATGTAGGCCCAGAAACTGTTTTACTGTATTATTTTTACCCCAAAGGTGGGGGTGGGGGAGTTAAAAAAAAGGGAAGAGCAATTCAATTGTGTCAAAACCATTACCATCTGTTCAGCTAAACAATAAACAAAACAAAGTGAATTTACTTTAAAAATTATAATAACAGCTTGTCTAGAAGGTACTGTCCATGTGTTTTGATATTTGATGAATAATACTAAAAATGTCTCAAAAGAGAAATATTACTACTGATTATTTTAGGAAATAAAATGCTACATTCTAAAAATCATTTCTCACTTTATATAAGGAAATTTATTATATTTCTTTATATAGTCCTGCTATACATAGCAAACTTGCTATCATACATAGTAGGAAGAAAATTTCTATAAATCAAAATTAATTGAAATATCAGGCAATACTTGAAAATTTTGTAACATTACCTAGTTTTCTCAATTCCTATTGTGCAAATTTCAAATTGGATCCATATGATAGAAAGTTACTACAGTTTTCTGACTCTTCTGAATATATTAAAATAGGGGCTTCATGCCTTTGATGATGGGTATAGAATTGCAGAGGACCAATAAAAGGAATATAAACTAAATTTTATGATAATCTAGAAATTTCCCATGTTGAAAGCCTGTGTCTCTCCTCAACTTGTTTGGATTATATAAGGATTCCATAAAACTTCCTGAATGATAATTCCCATCATAAAAGCATCTGTTTTCATAGAAGAAAACTTATTTCTTCAACGTCTTTTACTTTTTAAAAACCATTTACAACTTAATCTAAGATTTCTGGCTGATTTTCTAGAGCAAGTGTTTGTATTAACACTCACAACTTTTAGTATGCATCTGCTTTACTGAAAGTTAAGATAGTCAGTCATGAAACTATGCATTGCAATGAACTAAACATTATTATGAACTCTGCATTACTAAGAACTATGAATTATTATGAGGCAGGAATTATTCAATGTCTATGAAAGTAAATATTATTAGTTTAAAGTCTGTTTATTTTCCATTATGTATAAGTTTCTGAGCATATAGTGGGTATGTATATGTGATTATGGTGTCCAAGGAGATGAGAGGTATCTGACTCTTGTGGAGTTAGAGTTATAGGATGTTATAAGCCACCCAAGGCGGATGTTAGGACCCAAATTCTGGTTGCTGGCAAGAGCAGTATGTGCCTCTCTCCAGCCCTGGGTTTTTTTGTTTTTTGTAATTAAGAAAATTTGAAAGTTTTTTTCAAGTTGTATTATATTTCCATGAATCCAAAGAACTAAAAATAGCCTTATTTATTTTGGATTGTTTTAAAATTGAAAAGCCTGTAATAATAGGTCTTTCACCTTCAGTAAAATTTCACTATGGACCTTTATAAACTAAAAACCTACCAAATGGCCTAATGGTCTATTGCCTGGCTCTCAACACAAGGATATTTTTATTATATAAATCCTTTATTAATCTTATGAGATTATTAACTGATTAATATGACTCATTCAAAAACATGTCTTTGTAGAGTGTATATGTCACAGACATAGAAAACAACTATTTAAAAATAAGGGGCAGGGCTGGAGGATACTTGTATGTCCAAGGTCCAGAGTTTGATTACCCACAGTACTGCCCCTTTTTCTC